AGGGGTCCGAGTTCCCCACAGACAGGAGCTGTTGCCCCAGACCAGCCCTGTCCATGGGAAGCTCAGACCCCTGTGGACAGGGGCTGCAGCTATCCCATGCTGCTGTCTCCATATCAAAGGCAGTAGCATGGGGTGACAGGCAACCGATCAGCATGGGGATGTGAGAGGCTCAGGACGGGGTTCTCCTCTCTGTTCTCCTCCTCTCCATCACTTAGGCTACATCTAGAGCTGTTGCCCCAGACCAGCCCTGTCCATGGGAAGCTCAGACCCCTGTGGACAGGGGCTGCAGCTATCCCATGCTGCTGTCTCCATATCAAAGGCAGTAGCATGGGGTGACAGGCAACCGATCAGCATGGGGATGTGAGAGGCTCAGGACGGGGTTCTCCTCTCTGTTCTCCTCCTCTCCATCACTTAGGCTACATCTACACTGGCATCCCTTATGGAAAAGGGATGCTAATGTAGCACGCTGGAATAGGCAAATCCGCGGGGGATTTAAATATCCCCCGCGGCATTTGCATTAACATGGCTGCCGCTTTTTTCCGGCTTGGGGAAAAGTACTTGAAAGTAGGAATAAGAAATCCTCCAGAAAAGGCTTTATTTTCCGGAGAATAACGTCTAGACTGGCGCTTTTCTCCGGCTTTTCCCCAAGCCGGAAAAAAGCGGCAGCCATGTTAATGCAAATGCCGCGGGGGATATTTAAATCCCCCGCGGATTTGCCTATTCCAAAGTCTACATTAGCATCCCTTTTCCGGAAAGGGATGCCAATGTAGACACAGCCTTAGAATCCCCAGCACTTATACACTCTCGGGGTATGGCTTCACTGCTGCTTTTTTTCAATTCTTCTGTAGGAAGAGGTTTTTCCAACATTTGGCCTGTGTAAACTGGGCCAAATGTCAGAAAAAAATCCTTTTTTTCGGAAGCCCCCTTATTCCTCGTGGAACAAGGAATACAGGGGTTACCAAAAAAGCATGTTTGTTCTTCTGCTTAAAAAATGTGGAAGAACAAACGCATCTCTGGACACGGAAGAGTTTTTCTGGGATACCTCTGGAATCCCGGAAAACTCTTGCAGTCTAGCCATACCCTCACTGGGTTGATACGGTATGTGTGGGCTCTGGGGTGGGAATGAGGAATTTGGGTGCGGGAAGGGGTGAGAGGTGCAAGCTCTGGGAGGGAATTTGGATGCAGGAGGAGGAGGAGAAGGGGATTCTGGCTCAGGGAGGGGAATTCCAGGCTGGGGAGTGTTGGGGTCAGGTGGAGGGTTGGGGTACTGAGCAAGCCACAGGCTTTGGATGTGAGGGTGCAGGAGTTTGGGTTGGGGGATGTGAGGGACTCAGGGCAGGGAGGTTAGGAGTATGATGGGCTCAGGATACAGATTTGTGGTGTGTGGATGGCATAGGAGTGTTGTGACAGAAGACTGAGGATGTGGGGGTGCCGGAGTTTGGGGATGTGAGAGGCTCAGGACAGGGGGTTCCAGTATGAGAGGCGCTCAGATCTAGGGTCAGGGAAGGGGGGTTTGCAGGAATGTTATGATGCTGCAAACAGATGGAGGTTTGTTGGCAACGCTTCATTTTTAAATAAAATATAAACAAAAAGTCTCATCAATAAAAACAATTCTGAAAAGGGTGGGGAACCTGTTTCAAGTCAGGAGTCGCTGACCCATAGAAAAGTCAGTTGGGGCCACACAAGTGAGATGCAAAAAAAATAACTCCTCCGAAACCCCCCAAAGCCTCACTAATGTGGCCCCAGCTGTGCTGGTGGGAGCAGGGGACATGGTACTGGGGTAGAGTGCTGGTGGGTGCTGGGGCAGGGGACAGGATTCTGCAGCAAGGGACAGGATGCCAGTGGGGGCGGAGGCCAGGGTTCTGCACTGGGGGACAGGATGCCAGTGGGGTCAGAGTCTCAGTGGGAACAGGGGGCAGGGAATCCTCGGCATACACTTTCCTTTCCCCCTCTTCCCCCACCCCTCCCCCCCGGAGGAGGGAAGCCCCAGCACACATGCCTCTCACCGGGACTCCTCCCCCAAACCCCTGCAGAGGAGGGAAGCTCCTGCACACGCCTCCTCTGGGGCCTCCTAACCCCCCCACTCCCCAGGAGGGAAGCCCCAGCACACGTCTTCCCCCAGGACTCCTACCTCCTCCACCCACACAGCAAATCCCTGGCACGCCACAGACCTGGAGGAGGAGAGCAAGCAGCACAGTTCCAGAAACCCCGGAAGTGACGTGCAGCTGCCGGACTTCCGTCCACCCCATGGGAAGCTGGCACTACCTCCATTGTCGCTGGAGGTAGGTAGTGGGGCTTCTTGTGGGTGGGGGAGAATTCGGGGGGCCCTGAACGCCTCGCAATCAACTGGTCGAGCCCTCCTGATCGACCAGTCAATTGCAATTGATGGCTCGGTGACCATGGCTATAGAATATGGGGTGATGAGCACTTTCAAAAGATCCATCTGTGATCTCCTGTCAGTGGTTGATGACATGCTTTGACTTAGAATAACCATTTAATTACAACCTTAGTTGAAACAGGTAACCAATACACATTATCAGTTATGAGTCAGCTTCTGTTCCACATTGCTGCTTCTGTATCTGAGGCCACTGTACGGGATGGCAGATGGAAGCCAGTAGACGTGGGAAGCCAGCTTAAAAGCCAACTCTGCATGCACCAGCTTCCAGATAGTCAAATGCCACCCTCCCCTGATGACCCTGTATGGATCCATGGGGAACCAGTGTGTAAATACTAAAATTTTTAACTGTTACAGTTAAAACAATACCTGTTTTTAACATCCCTTTAAACATATCAGTTTTCTATTATCTTGAAAGAGATGGCTAGCTTTAATAGTCTATTAAAGTTATAATAATATCTCTAAGCAACCCAACTGGTTTGCAACAGATTTATTTTTTCAATTTCAAGACGTAGTTTCAAAACCTGTTTGGATACAGCACATCTCAAAACTAACCAGAGATCAGCTAACATTTTTTCTGTATTAAATATATCGCTATATTATACATATGTATCAATTACAAGAGACACACATGTCATTCTTAATAAAAACCTGTATTTCATTTTTGAGATCAAAATAGCCTCAAATTCAGTCAGAAACTATTATTTTAGTGGAGCTTAATTTAAATAAATTATTTATATAACATGTGACTGCATGTATTTTAAATATGCTTAATTTAGGGTCATCATATTTCCCCATACCAAG